AACTGACCTGCAGCCTGCAGACTAGGTAGGATGCTAATCTCAGTGCTCGTGAAAGACTTGTGTTTTGATTACTTCATCCTTAAGAGCAGCAGGTTGTGGTAGCGTGCAGCTGGACAATCCTTGGGCAATGTCTTCATTTTTAGTAAAAGATGATTAATCTTACCACTTCTGGTTTTTTGCCCCCCTTTTTTTTTTTCCTGTTTGTGCTACCAGTTTAAGGAATGAGACACACCCCTAAGCCTTTCAGGAGTAAAAAAATAACTGTTTCTTCATTTGCTGTAGTCCATGACAATAGCAGACAAATGACATTTCTCAGCTGGCCAGGCCAGTGTCTTTACTTGCAGATTGGTCACTGGATTTAAATTTTTAACAGATTATTCAATTTCCAGGATAGTCCTGGAAAGTAGAGGAAAACCCATCAGGACACCCTAGAGAGGAGCTGCAGTGAAGTCTCTGTAAAAGGTCAGCCATTCTAATGCAGCTGCCTTAGGTCAACAGGACACAAGAGGTTTTGAAGCAGCAGCTTCACTGAGCTCCATCCATCACCACCTCAGTCACCCTCCACCACAAGTACAGCTTAAGAAATTTTCTTTACACGATCAAGTCTTTTTTTCAGTTTGAAAGCGGTTCTAGTCATATAGAGGTGGCCAACTTGTAAGAAAAACCAAAACTAATAAAAATTTAAAAAAAAAAAAATCACAACACCCCCTCAAACCTCCTGTTCCAATCTCTTTGCAAATTTGCCTTTCCTCTCTCCAACTTCATATTTTTCTTTGTTTTCTGTCCACTAAATATCTGAAATGGTAGTTAGGACACATTCTGGCTGGCTGACATCTTAATAAATGCTCTAAGACTGCTGCTGGATGACAGCTACCACGTAAGCTTGAGCAGACTGATTATGGGGGAAAAATAATTAGTTGAACATTTTTTCATAGCCAAAAGATAATGCTAAGGTCACTAGCAAATACCTGCCTTGCATGCTTTGCTGCTACTGTCCCAAGAACAAGATATGCAGAAAATTTATCTTTCGCATCTTCTGTGATTGTTCTCCCTTCCCTGTTTTTTATGCATTGGTTGTGTTATTTTCCTGCAAATATGTTACTATCACATTTAGGATTTGCATTAAAAAAAAAAACACAAGACAATTTATATTCAAAGGAGAATAGGGAAGAGAATCAAAATAAAAATATTCCCAAAATAAATACACATGTTGTTTAGACTAGAACATGGGCTTGGTTTCTATTTGTTTCAGCCTTGTTTGTGCTTGTTTAACACATTTTCAGATGTGGAAATCTGATCAAGAGTCTAACACAAATGTGGAAATTAAACAAGGAGAAAAAAAAAAGGCATCTAGGAACGGTAACAATTTGAAAGTGTTCGGATTTCATGTAGTGAGTGGTAACACTAAAGTGCACAGCCAACTGGATGTTTCTCAGTGCCAGAAGCCAGCAGTCCTTCAGGGGTGCCACGGCAGCTGGGAATGCGGCTGCACCTCTCACAGAAGGCACAGGAGAAGGCAGGAGATCCCATAGATACCTTCCTCCAGGTGCCGTGGTCCCAGCTCCCAACCCTGCTGTGTGCCAAGCTCTGTGAGCTCACTGCCTTTTGTGCAAGCACTGCAGATTGCCAATTCCTGTCTTGCACCTCATGGTATGTAAGACTGGGGCAAGGGGGTGACCTCTGCAAGGAACTGAATTAAAACATACCCTTTTCCCTTCATACACCTCACCAATCACTCTTAAATAATAATAAAAGGAGGTTTTTATACATGTTAAGTCCAAACCCAAATAACTCACAAAGATTAGAGAATAGTTCACTGACACACAGATGGGAAATTCGTGGGCACCTTTCTTTTAGCATAAAACAAACAGATAAAATAGAAACTTAACACTAATAGAAATCCTGCTAAATTACTTCTGCTTTTAATAACTGAAAGTTTCTGTTTTCTATACAAAGTATTAACAAACCCCAAACAGTTTAGTAACACAGTACAACCTAATGTAGAGTTACCACTATCTCCATACAAGCCACTTTCACATCCTCAATTCACACTGATATCCAATTTCTATTTAATTAGACTTACATTCATTTCTTAGAGATAACATGGTGCCATGTCCAAGACTGAAGGATGTTCTGAAAAGCTTATTGGCAACTAAGCAGACTGGACTAGACTCTTCCTCCAGTATTTTCCAACAGATTTCTTGTGTCAACAGGCCAGCTTCTCTACCAGACTTTCAGCCCCACTCCCATATTCCCAAATTCAACATTAGAGATTATCCATACACATATTTGTCAGCACGAAAAAAATGTGGCAGCAGAATAATTTTATCTGCTAAACTTGTTTGCCAAGGGCTGCCACATCCTGGACTGCTTCCCATAACCTTAAAGCAGCAGAACAGCAGTCTCAGAGTCCTCCAGGAGACATCACCAACATCTCACCCCTCAAATACACAGCCAACAAGACTTAAGACCAACCTAAAAAAATTATGTGTGAGCCAGTATTAGTGGAGGGTTTGCAGGACTGTCTGTTCTTTACATTCCTGTCCCAAAACAATCCAACTGCTTCCATGCTTTCTCTGATTTGAGAGAAATAGGTAACTAAAGAGAAAACCTATATATATGACCTCCTGTTTTACCTCTAGTCTTCAAAGAATCCTATCACTTCCAACTAAGAACCCAAGAAGCATCTTACAATAAGGATGGCTAAGGGAATCCAGAATTTAGGGGGTGAATTTCCCACGATTTTGCCTTTTTTTTGGATGTCACTCTCCCTTTGCAGTGGTTCACTGGTTTTGAATAATTATTCATTGGTAATATGCCTGAATCAAAACATCCTGAGCCTGAATGCTGGCCCACCTCCAGACAGGTGTGAAATGATTTCCTACTACAAGAAATGGCAACACTGTCACAAGGTTCCAAAACATATTTATCTCCAGCTGACCACTGCACAGAAATTAGGTTTTCCACAGTTAACTAGCTTGGGGGGAAAGAGTACTTTTGCTGAACTGTAAGCTAGCGTGGATATCATAACAAAAAGTTACTTATTTTGTAAGAGGTTGCAGGTACTGAAAAACAGTACATACGTTGGAATCTCATGTTGTGAAGGACTAAGCAGAACAGCAATCCTGACTATTGCATTTGTGACACCTTTATAAAAGGAAGAAAATATGTATGGTAGGAGTGAAATCTAAAGAAATGGTTTGTACATCTCACATTCTGGGTCTTCCAAAGGGCATTGCACAATCAACATTCACACCCCACCTTGATACAGTCTAGGATTTTAATTGCAGTGCAAAGCATTTACTCTACTAGAGAGGAAAAAAAAAAAAAAGGCAAATTTGCAAATACATTTTTCTTCACTGCCTAAATCCAGTACTGATGCAAACCACCTGGTTCAGGCACAGCAGTCACACTGGCATGCTCAGCTACTGCACTGGCCAGGAACAGCCAGACATCCAAGGATTTCTTTTTTGCTTTATCTACTTTATTAAACATCAAACATGTCAAGAAGTTAACCCTCTCACATTTTTATAGTTACTGACTGTTGCAAAGATATGAACACAAGTTGATCTTTCAGCCTGCTTTGACAGAAGTGCCTTGCCATCAAACTCAACAGCTTACTCATTCCTGGGGGTAGAGAAGCTGCCCCAGGAGCTTTAGAGCAGTGTGGTAAAAGACTTCCCATCCATCTCTCTATGTTCCCAAGCATTTTATCACTAACAAGAGTTTCATGCATTCCATCACCTCACTGTAATGCAGAGACAACTAGAATTTCCCCCAGCTTCAGAAAGATAACCAATTCTAATAGTTCTCACCAAGTACCTCTCTCAAGCAAGTGGTAACATTTGAAATGCAGATGGTATGTACAAATCAATCACTCACTTCGTCTCTGGAAGCTGATTTTTCTGCCCGGTAGTCAAAACATCATAATACAGACCCTAAATGTATTAAGAAATGGTCTACCTTATCCATATCAAAGTAAAATTATCAGCTGTATTTCACTGCCTGAGATACACAGTATTTGCCATAACTGCAAATACTTCACAAGCAATTTCAGCTTTAGCAGATTTGCTAATATTATTAAAAATACGAACACCAACATTCTAAAAATTTATCACAGTCAGAAAAAAAGTCTTCCTCCATATTTATCCAATTCCATTCCTTTAGTTTGACTGGGGTTTTGAAGACAAATGGAGACACTGCTGACTGAGAATCTACTGAAACCTTATCCCCTTCTGAAAAAGTGAACTGCTTCGTATAAAAAGACTTCATGTTCCGAAGTCAAATTAAATAAACAGGTATGTGGAAGAAGTACTGCTTTTTATTCTCCTTTCTTCCACAGATTTTTTTTTTAAAGTGCCTGGGAAGTAATGCACCATTTCCCTCCTGCTCTCTGGTTCCTATGCCCCACTGAAAACAGTTCAAACAAGAGAGGGTTTTGATTATCACTTCGACTAATCAAGGAGAGGGAAAATCCTCTTCACCAAATCCAGAAGACAAGTAACACAGGGCTCATACTAACAAGGGAGATTGCAGCTAGACACATCTAAAGGTCAGGATTGGAAAGCACTGGAACATACAGAGGGATTTCCTCCCTGGATACTAATGCAGCTTCAACTCATGGGTACTGAAATCAGCACAGGTATAAATGACCAGATGAGCTCTCAAAGTCTGTAACTTTTTTTCCTAAAAGGATTATAAACACAGTTCTTAATGTCTTCAGATATAAATCAAGCAGACAAACTGCTGTATGCTGCATTGATTAACAAAATGCCAAGCCAAGAGAAATTAAAAGTACAAGATCTAGCTCTTGTTGCCAGGATTTCAAAAGAAGAACCACTATACAGATACATCTTCCCTTAAGCAGGAGAAAAATAAAGGACAGAAATCAGACTTCAAGCTCCAGTCTTTAAAACACACTGCTGCCTGTGTTAACGATTCAAATAAAAATTGCAGAACAGAAAACTTGCCGTGCAAAGAGGAATTTCTCAGCAGCTTACCTCAGTGGACCGTAATTGAGCATTATAAAAGCCAATATCACCATCACACACAGGGTCCTTCTCTTTGGAGATGATACTTTGAGCTTCTGGTTCTAGACAGGAAAAAAAATCAGAAGACATGCAGTAAAAGAGAGGCACAGATATGCAAACATATGTCAGAAGCTCAATACACCAAATGATGCTTGCTTTTTAGATTTATATTTGCCTAATTATACATGAATACATGCCAGGACTACTTAAAAATAAAACTTCTGTTTGTACATTATATTCAGCTTCTACCCCGTCTGTCTTCTCAGTGAAATCTTAAGAAGCACCATGGAGTAAACAATTAAAAGTCAACCAGATAATGTGACAGCTGTCGGGCTAGAAACCCTCCAAGGTCTTCCACACAACATTTCCACGGTTCTGTTCTAGCTCCTTCCACCTGAACAACTGTCTTGATAGGAAGTCAGACTTTCATCGCAATCTCTTACCTCTAATACTATTTCATCCAGCTGCCTCTTCAGTGTGCTGTTTTCTTTCTTGAGTTTCTCGTTCTCCAGCAAGGCTGCCTCCAGCCTCGCCTCCAGTCCCAACATGTATTCTTTCTTCTTCTTGCGCGACTGAAAGGCCGACTCGCGGTTTTTGATCATGCGCTGCTGCCGTCTCAAGACATTGACCTGAACCGACAATACACAGGCCTGTCAACAATTCACAAGTTAAAAGTGCCTCTAATTCATGCATAATTTCTGCCTCTCTACTTTGTCAAGCGTGTGCACAGATAGTTTCTCACGCTCTGCTTCAAATGAGCTGGAATGGTCAGCACACAGAACACCGCTCAGTCATAGCTCACGGACAATGAAAACTGGCCCTGCACTGCCTGCTTTTTCCTGCATTCTCAACCTCCTATGTATAGGGGACACAAAACATATACTTGAGCAGCAGATTGATCAATCAAACCACAAAGACAGAAAACATGTATCTTCAGGTCTGCAACACAGCAAGAATGTCATTCACCTTCACTTTACTGTGCACCATTCTATAGGCTACAACCAGTCACCTCCTTTCTTAACAGGGAAGTTCTACAGTTTTACAATCTATTCTGCATGGAAGCCATTTCCACACTGATTACACCTGTTTAAGTACCTTTTCCACCTATGCTATATAATTTTTGAGCTTCTGAATACCGTTGCTGGCCTCAGACTGCACATTCTACGTGCATCAAACACTTACACGGTAGTTTAAATGCACTCTCTGGGTGCATCTATACTAACACTTTAATTCAGATCAGGAGTGTGGCTTTGATGCACATTTCCTGATTGCCCCACTTAATGTGCTTTGTTTCATGATAGAACAGTCTCTGAAAGAGCACACAAACCGTATTCCTTCGGGATGAAGCTCAACCAGCAAATATACTCCCGGAGAGCACATAATTCCCTTTAACCACTAGCAGGCATTCAGTCTGCAAGACCAGACTGGGACAGTTCAAAGTAAACCCTCCCTATCCTCCAAAAGTCCTGGTGGCTGATTTTTTTCCCAAGCAGGAATACTCCATCATCTTTACCACTTACTCATTTTGTGGTTTTCACTGAGTGGGATGACCCAGACTGAAAGCATCTTGCTTGCTGACAGGGATAACAAAGATGGATACTGCAGAAATGTACAAAACTACTTGAAATATTAAGTTTAGACACTACTTCGTTGATTTCCTCTCCCTCACAGATTAGCAACTGCAACTCTGTTTTCATTAAGAACAGAAGACTTCCATCCCATTATTAAGCTACAACTGGACGTGCCTTAATGACAATTACACTGAAAGATAACCACATGCTCTATCTTACACAGACCTGAATATCCTCCAGTAGCTGCCAACACACGCACTGGAGTGACCTGTACTTATCACAGCAGGAAAGTTAAAGAAAAACAGATGAGAACTATTCCAGAAGTATTACTCTAGGAAAAAATAACAAGTCACAGAATAGTAACGTTAACTAACTCAGACAGTGTGCTCTGGCTAAGGCCTGGTTTTGTAAAGAACCTTAACCTCAGCTTTCCAACTCCCTCCTTGTATATACCTGCACACAGACAATATGTTGCTCTAGGGCTTTGGTGTCTGCAAAAAACAGTGGCTACAGGCTGTTTGAAGATGACATTCTTCTTCATGATGCTGCAGGCTGGTGACAAAAACTAAGAAAACACGTTACAGTGCATTAACATTCTGGGCTGCCTTCATGTTGGTCTAATTGCTTTTCAGAAAGATCATTTATTATATGTCTAGTCTGCTGCCACTAACAAAAGTCTGTGAAAGTGTAGCTGTTTGTTCTTACTCCATTTTCTCTCTTTAGCAGAGTGGAGAATGAAAAGATTTGAACATATTTTCATTAACACTAACCTTTGTCTTGAATTTTTTAAGTACTACAACATTCAACATAAAAAAAAACCTACAGCAGACATATAAAAACTGGACAAAAAAAACCCACATTTGGGCTAGCCAAGAACTGCAGTGTACAGAACACACCAATTTGAGGCCAGGATCACTTAAACTCTTCATAGATGAAATAATAAGGAATGAGTTCATGCAGCAGCTTTGGCTCGAGTTGTGAGATATTCCGAACGAGCAGTTACATTCCTCTTTTTATAAAGAGGTTTTGCATCACGAAGTCAAACAGAGAAGACCAAATTGTTTACATCCACTCTTGTTTGCAGACCTGCTTGGGATTATTTATTACTGGATAGCTTTTAATTAAGTGTCTGGAGCCTCTGGCAAATCAACATGCTTCCCTGAAGAAAACATGGTGTTAAAGCATCAGTGCAGTGCCTGTACACCAAGAGTACATCCAAGGTTCATCTGTCGCTGTTTCAGACACTGCCATCTACGTTTCACAGGGTGTTTGTTTTAATTTACAATCCCTAAAAAATTTAAGGTCTTTGGTCAAGTTTCTAGTTCTTGTCTGGCTTTTCCTGGGAAATAAGCCTCAACTCCACACCCAATCCCACCTAAATCTGATGCAGGAAATGGAAAGAGTTGAGTGAGTGAAATGGTGCAAGAATGCTTGAATGTGGAAGCAGTACAGCAATAAGCTGGCCTGGCATCAAGCTAAACATGCCCCCTGCTTGAGCACTTCGATAATCAGAAGAGAGAGGAACTAATTTATACAGTCAGCCTGCCTGAGCAACATTGCTTTGCACAAGTGCTGAACTAAGATTAAAAGCAGCAAACACCCCTGCTAACTTCTTTTGTAGCCTCCCACTTTTTAAGTTATGTTGTATTAATTTTCCACTCAAAATAGTAACTTCTGGTCCTCAGGAAACGCAGACCATGGAGGGAAAACATCTGCCTTCACATCAAACAGTAATCAGTGATGCAATTTCTGCTTCCTAGCTTTAAAAACAACACCACTTAGCACATAAGAATGTTGTAAATATGGAGAACTGAAAGGTTCACTGCAAATCCTTGCTTCATACAGGACTAACTAGATTCAGATTGTCCTCTATCTTCAGAGGTCTTATGAACAGTCATGCACTTTAGGGAAAAAAACCCACCACTACCTCAATTTACTTCCAAACGAAACCCAATTAGGAGCAAAATTTAACCTCCACTCCAACGCAAGCCATGCTTTTAGCACAAGGCAGTAAGAACATCTCTCACACTCCAAAGAGTTGTCTGTACAAACACTGGGAAAGTTAATGAAGAGCTGAAAGTACAAACCATTTCAACTTTGCATTGGCAGGCTTCTTAACTTGGCTTACAAAAGCTGCTGTCTTATAAGATGCATCTCAAATGCAGGAATGTAAAACCTATACAAGTTCTCTGTCCTCATGGAAGTTCTGGGTTTTCTTGTCTCTAACTCCACAGAACACAACCTGCCTAATGAGTTCACTTCACATGAACATTACACAATGTACAGTAGAGAAAAACATTTCAGTAGAAATCTACATCTATGCTGAAGTAAGTTTTCATAATCTAATTTCTTCTAGATTTTCAACGTTTTTTTATCAAGATAACTGGGGGGCAGAATTAAATCCTTTCTCACTACAAAGAGGAAATAGGAGAGAAAAGCCCTATAAGGACACAATTAAACTGAATTCCTTCACACACCTACTGTTTATGCCCTCTTACAATTTCACTGCAACAGGAAAGGCAATCTGTTTCTTTTCGTTAAGAGCCTCTTTCCTTCAACCGGAAGAGCGGCTTGCTTAGGCAGCGTTTCTTTTGTTCAACTTCCCAGTGGAAAGTTGTTTCCCAGTGAGGAGTGACTGCACAGAAAACCTGGCACCTCCCCACGGCTGGCAGGCTGCACAAACGTGTGCCACCAGGACATGCGCCACGAGGGGCAAGGCTTGCTATCGGCCCATCGCAGTGTAACGCACTGCAAGGGCTGAGTGTTAAGCCAACAGTTTATCCCTCCTAAGCCCAAAAGAAAGTCCTGCAGTGTTTCTTTTTATCCTGCGACATCTGCTTAGATTAGCAAACAAAAACACGTGTTGCAGAGCTCAAATGACAGCTACATCTGTGCAGTTCTGAGCGCCACATATGGCGTCCGAGGCAGTCGCGGGACGTTTTAACCCTGCTGGCGCCAGCTGAATCCCAAAGCATTTGTCCCTTCTCAAAGCACTTTTTCACAGTATGTGCCAAAGGGCATCTGCAACTGTTCCTTCACATTTCAACAAATGCAGGTAAGATGTGCAGTATTTCACAAGCCTTAAAACTGCTGCCCTAAACCAGCTTTGGGTGGAAATACCCACACAACCATCCTTCAAAACGAGCAGTTGATCTTTACCCCAGCTACACCTTTGATCAGTGACTGTCATGGGTGTGTATATCGAGTAAAATGACAGCAAGTGGGTTTTGTCAATTAACCCTTTATCTCAGACAATGGCAAGGTGCCACGTTAGTCCTGGTTACAGGAAATCACAAACCAAATGACTGCTGACAGGTCTCTTCAGTTTGGCTTTGTGTAGTAGGCAAATACCATTTAAAAATGCAGTGCTCTTAACTGTCTACTGTCAGACCTTTGTTACCTTCTAGTGAATTCAAAATCAAGTTTTCATTGTAGTCTGGCTCCTGAATTATTTGTAGCATGTTATTTTTCATTATAAAATGCAGCCCCCACACCAACACGATTAGTGATGAAAATTTAACATCAAGCATGAGTGGCAATTCTCAGACATGAGGAAACTGTACAGCAACATCCCTCCAAAGAAGCTGAAGGCACATGCCTTTGACACACAATGACCTGCACTGCTAATAGGCTAAACCAGCGAAATTCCATGTGAATGGACTCCAGTGTTTTCTCCCTTCCACTGAGAGACATGATAGGACTCTCAGCTCACAATGGCTTTTGGAATATGACACTGAAGAACAACACTCAGAGTTTAAAAGCCACAATCAAGAAGCTTTGGTACTTTTCACAACCACGCCTTCTTTGGACAACAAAATGCAACCAAAGCAGCTCCGAATTACTAGCAACTAAATCAAGTTAACACCCAGCTCTCTATCTAGTTAACATGTCAAAGCTGAAGGGGGGAAAAAGACCACACACATCTCAAAAGCTTTTTCTGTTTACACTTACTGCTTATTGTGAGCTACTATGGAAAAACTTCCTTATTTGCACAGGGATTGTTGAGAGCTTACACCTTTTCTACTCATACAGTATATGATCAGAAGGGAGCCTGAAGAGATTAGGCTCATATGAAACTCAGTACCTGAAGTTTCTAAAAATCATAAGTAAAATCTGGGGAGATAAAGGGGGATGGAAAAAGAATTAAGCAGTGACATATCCAATTCACCTACTTCGAAAGGAGTGTTTTCATTACATGGATTAGAAAAATGGCTTAGCACTAATCAGAAATCAGATATATCTTCCTGTATGTAAGAGACCTTGAGAGATTGTACTTGAGAAGACAAATGATGGAAAAAATGTATCATCACCATCTTCTGACACCATGCTTGCACACCTGGTCTGCAACTCCAGGCAGGCCAGCAGATACCAAGCTGCTCATCCCCGTTCTGTGCCAAGCTGCCAGACTCCCTGTTTACTGTTAGAAATCCTATTAAGAGTTTCCCTGAGACTCTGAAGGATCTGGTTATCCCATTAAATGCCACAACACCTATTACACGATAGGTAACTGAGAGCTGTTTCCAAGCCTTGCTTATTCAGTTATCACACACAGAACTTACGTCCAGCCCCATTGCTGGTGTGCTGCTTTGAAGCAAGGGCTTAGTCACCAGTATTTTCCCACTTGTTGAGCCATTTCCAGCAGCTGGAGGCAACACATTCACCATGTGGTTTTGAAGTGGTGTGGTCCCTCCAGTGACAGCAATGACTGGCTGGGAAGCAGGAAGCACCCCAGAAGCCTGAAGCTGCACCACGGCGGGCTGGGGGAGCACCACGGATTGACCTGGAACACAAGAACAACCAGCAGAGCTCAGCACCTATGGAATTCATTTGTACACCGTCACTTTGTAGAGGCATGCTGATAGAGGAGGTAGAAAGCCTTTGCTTCCCCACCTGCCCTGCACAAATTATCTCAAATCCACTAGTATATTCCACAGGATAGGAATGGGAAAAAAAAAAAGTTCAAAAGTTTGCAGGATTCTTAATCCATCCTACAAACCAAAATTACACATATTAAAGAGATCCAATAAATCAAACTCTCTCCCAAAAGCTCTTCAAAGTTAATAAAATTCAACACTTATTATAAACATTACTCAATTCAGTATTGCTAACACTTGAAGCACTGTGGACAACTTTTTCAAATAACTTAGCCAGCTTTCCTCAATCCTCCTTCTCCCTTTTGTCCATATCTACTTTATTGCTGCATTCAACAGAAAACTTACTACACAGAATAGACTCATACTATACAGACTGATACAAAATAGCATAGACAGAAGATGAACAAAAAAGAACAACACGAGTTACACTTTCAAAACAGCTTAAAGCTTCAATTCACACTAGGATCATTTTTTTTTTAAATGCTTTATGCAAGAAAGTTTATGCACAAGCTGAACAGAGCTTAAAGAAAAGCAGTAAGAAAAAATGAGGTAATTTTGACAGAGTTTGAAATGGAATTAAAAACAGTCACGTCCAAGAAATTTCAGTCCAACAAGTACATTTAACTCAAGCAGGTGCTTGAGTAATATTCTGTTGTCTGAAAACACATCAACGTCTCTCTAATCCTTTGTAACAGGATGACCTCGCCAGCTTTCAAAAACAGTGCATTCCAACTGAGCATTCCAACCAAAATGCACAACAACGTATTACAGCATTTACCCGACCTTCTGGAAGGCAAAAAATGAAGTAATATACCTAGTGCCAAGATCTTTTAGGTATGGGGTGCAGGATTAGATCTCCCTTTTTTTTTTTGCAGACACAGTCTTGATGACTTGATGAGTTAGTACTGCCCTATTTAAGAATATTTAATGGTGAATTTGAGACTATTTGAACTTTCTTCTTTATATATAAAGGATGTGATGCTCTAAGACCATGCTTTCTCCTTTAAGCTTTCATAAAAGGGACTGTAAAAACGCGATTTCTCATGCTCCTTTGAAGATAATGGGACATTTCAAACTGGTAGCTCCAACCTGTCATATGCAGGGGATTTTGACTGATGAAAACAGATCCTTATGGTTTTCATTATGGAAGCGGCACAATAGAATTTTTAAACATATCACCAGTTAAAGTAAATACATCACATGGAAATACTTTCCCAAAAGTATTTCCTCTATACTGTCTCACAGAAACTACTGCCCTGACTTTTCTTCAGGGAAAAGGAGAAGCTGATCTTCACAGTACTACACTTACATCCAAAAACTCCCTATCCCCGACATTCCTTATTCCAGATGGTATTTTATCAGCTGGAACATCAGAAGGAATAAGAATTAGGTCACGCCAACCGTGCTGACCTGTGTTTTAAGCAGTCTAACAATCTTAGGCATTTTGTAACAAATGTCAGTGTCTGCAGATTTGGCTGAACTCCTGATGGAAGCGCAATTAGTAACGAAGACAAATTTTTCACTATTGCAATGATTTCTAGAAACATGCCCTTAACAATTTGTCTCCCTTTGCTTCCACGCCTCAGCGCCCGTGCATTCAACCACAAGGGACTGTGGCCATCAGCTGGTGAAACGAGCAACTGCATCTGATAATTCCTGCAATGCAACCAATGTCCCCACAGCCTCGGCTGGAGACTGAAATAAGGCTCTGGATTCAGAAATGAAGGCTCAAGCTACTTCAAAAATCGGTTACAGGGCAACTCTAGGAATGAAGAATTATCAGGGGACAGGAAATCACTTGCCTCTCGTTTACATAGCTTGCAGCTGTAAGCAACTTTTCTAACCTCTGACACAGCTCTTAGTTTTTAGTAGATTTCACAACATTCTATTTGATGCTGTTTAGAGAGCTAAAAAGCCAAAAACTCATGTTCCCACCATCCTGTGGCAGATTCATGCGGGCAAAAAAAAGCTTTTACCACTTCTCCCAAGCTTTCCAGCTTCATTCAAGCCACCCTGATTCTGCTGGACCTTCCTTTGGTTATGACAGAACAGCACTGTAATCACCTCAAGCACCACCTGACACCACAGGCAGAGCACAGCAGAGGGTCCCTACAGATCTTTCCCAATCAGCAGTTTTATCTCCACAGCTCAGCACAGTCTCTGTCTTCCATTTCAAATAATGGAATTATTATAATCTGGTGTCTTCTGTTCCAAATAACACCCAGGTAAGGGCTGTTTCTCATAGGACTCTATGAGAGGAGTAAGGCCACCTTCCAGCCTTAAGCTTTTCCAGTCAAGCATGTAGGACTCCTTTTTCTCCTACCCCTCCCCTTTCATGCACCAAACCTCATTTCATTCTATCAGCCAACCCAAACAGACAAAGTTACCCCCAAAACCTAGCTCAGTCAGGACAATTCACCTACCTTTAGGAGGTGCTGGCTGTATGTTAACAACTGGCTGATTCTTTGGCAGTGGTACAAGCGTGGGAAGAGTCTGAATAATGATGGTTTTAGCTGGGATGCCAATGTTAGCCTGAGTTTCAGGCACAGCAGGCAAAAGGGGTTTGGGTTGTATCAAAGGCCTGGACACTGCCTGACTACACCTCTTCAGGTTCTTTGCAGAATTATTTCCTAGAAAAGGAAAGAGACTCAGAACAGAAGGCATAAAATAAAGCATTCAAGCGATAATAAAATGGCTTTTGGTATGGAGTTTTTTTACCCATCTATAATATTCATTAAAAACAAACATATCTGATCAAAAACTCAAGTCAGAAATGACAGGATATCTATTGTCTGTTAGTCAAACATTCATATACAAGGCAACACACATACTGGCTATAGGATCAAAGTACATCGCATACTATCTATGGGATCAAAGTAAAGCACATACTATCTATGGGATCATAGCTCTGGATCTCTCATACCAGATCGAGGAGAGGTGCTGACAGCAGGCTTCTTCTCCCCATCTCCTTCAGGGGATGCAGGGCTCCTGCAGCTCTTGCCGTAGAGAGAGATGGGAGACATCTGGGAGCTACAGCTGAAGTCCACATCATCCTGCAGACAGAAAGTACATGAGATTAATGCCTCAGAAACACAGAGAAGTGTCTACTAGCAGCTCAGAGTATATCTGCTTTTCATCACAACTGTGTTGGTGCTGCAGCAAACAGGAGAAAGGTTCTGTTCTGCAGTTTTATCCTGGTCAGTGCCAAGTACCACTTAAAAAAACCAACAAGTACTTCTGCCCATCAACAGAGCAATGTGAGGCAGAGGCCAGCAACTGCTATACTGAGAAGCCTTTAGAAGGCATTTTGTTTGGCAACCAGGCTAATAAACATAACTGAGGAAACAGAACTGAACATGTTTGTATTCCAATGGGTCACAAAGGAGAGGTAAGAGAACACCATGGAAGGAAAGCTGCTTTTGCAAGGGTTGGAAAAATAAGCTGTTTCCTCTTATGCCAGGAATTTGGTCAGAGAAGTAAATCACTGGGCTTTTGTTGCTATATGTGTTACATGGAGGTTTCTGCATACAGGCACATTCTGCATTGGAGAGTCCACAGACGACGGAGAAGGGACCGAACAGTTTGAAGTGGCCGGTGATAAGGGTTCTGTCTTCACACTTTCATCTGCAAGAGGTAGATAAGGAAATTTTACTGCACAAGTTTTTAGCAAGGAGAGATCAGTAAAGAACACACTGCTCTACATCAGCTATTTAACTCCTGAAGCAAAGCACAGCAGAAAACGTAGTGAGACTAAAGGTACCAAACAGCTTAGCTTGTAGGGTACTCCCTGCCCGCTGTACCTGCCCTACACAGCACAACTTCTTATAACACAGCTGTAGGGAAAGGAAGAGCTCCACATAAGTTACCATGATCCCTAAGTTGTAACAGCTCACCCTTGTGGGGCAGAGGGGTAAGAGTCACACCTGCAAAATATAGAAGATTAATTACCTGTATAAGCATGGCCTGTAATATTCCAAAAGTCCGAGTCCCAAGACATCAAATCCAAATCAAAATGAAAGTTATAGAGATCATTTTCCTGAAATGACAGTTCAGAAAAAGAGATGAGACAAAAAGAATGATACATTGATACCACCAGCCATTATGTTCACATTCTTACAGCTCCAGAAAACAAAACAAAACAATACAACTATCACTCCAGTTGCCTTAAAGCATGCAGAGATAAAAGTCTTTAAAGGAGAAATTCCCAACTGGAACATACAAGGTAAGGCTCATTTTAAACCTTAGACCTGTAGGAAAGGAGCATGTCAGTTTAAGACCATCACTAATTATCATACCCGTATCAGTAGTTTCTAAACCAAAAATTTTAAGTCCACTCATTGAACCACCTCAAATAAAACAGGTCTGCCTCGAAAAATTTATTTGATGCCCTTCCATCGTTACATCTCAAAGCATCGTATAAACAAAAGCACCATCAGGGACAGTTTACCAGCAGGAAAAGAGACACAAGTACTGATTTGCTCAAGGCTTGATGAACAGTATCTACTACATCTCCCTATACTTGAATAAACTGACATCATCATTTTCTAAAGCCACAGACCCAAACTTCCTTTTCCAACAAAAACAAAACCAAACAAGAAAAAAAAGGTTAAAATCACTTCATACATTTGATTTATCGTGGGACCTTTAGAACAACAATTGGGGGGTTTCTCCCATTTTTTTGTGCTTGTGCATCTGTAAGTCTCATTTCTCTGTGCAAATGTGGCACTTTAAGAGCACTTGCATGAAAAATACAAACATGACCTACCCAACTCTCACAAATACACGGCAAGGATTTTCGTACTAAAAACTATCCTACAAGTGTACTTTTCCCTTACATTCTCAACTTGGCTGTAAAGGGAGGCTCAAAAAGTCTGCATAGATGTTACTACACAAGCTAGAATGAGGGAAAGCTCATCAGAGCACACTGACAGGAAGAATGACAAAAACCCACAGCCTGAGCTGTGCAGTGAGAGCCTCCACACAGGCAACTAATGCCAACCTGCTGCCAGGCCCTACCTTTCCCTTGTACAGTCATGCAGTTCCAACATTTTCTCCAGTGAGTGGCTCCACAACACCTGTAGGAACGCTCTTAAGTACCCGAGATTTACTTTGGCTAACTCAGGGGTTGTTGTGCCAAAGATGGGTCAGGACACAGTGAGCACAGAGAAGGCAAGAGGAAGAACATGGAATGGAGAATCCACGAGGCAGGTGCCCCGAGAAAGAAAAGGCGGTATGTGCAGTTGGACAGTAAAATACATGGGAGATTAACGCATAAGGTTGCAAGCAAAGTTCTTTGCTGAAAATCCTACAGCAAAGAAGAACAGACGAAGCCATCTAACAGGCAGGGTGGCAAAGCCCAGCCCCGGTGGATGCAACTCGCCCACGCTTCTCCCCTCCCGCAGCACTGCCCTGCGGGGCTCACCTTCCCCGGGGCAGCGACAGCACCGCCCCTCCTGGGCACGGCACCTGCAGCCCTCGCCTTGGACTCTGCCCCTTACACCTTCAACCTCCGGCCTTGACACCCGCAGCTCGCCAAGCGATCGATATCTCGGTGACTCACGCAGGGTGAAGGCCGGGAAACCACGCTCTCCTGCCGGGCTGCCCCGGGGGGGATCCCCGCGGGTCTCCCCCATGGCCGAACGGGCCTGCCTGGCCCCCGCCGCCCCCGGACCCTCCCGCTACTCACGTCGGGCTCGTCCTTCGGGGCCGCGGCGCCCAGCAGCTCGCTCAGCTCCTCGCCCAGCACCGCCTCTGCGGGAGAGACAAGGGGCTCAGCGCCGGCACGGCCTGGGCCGGTCCGGAGAACCCCGCGCCGCCCCGGCCCCCCCCCAGCCCCGCTCACCCCAGTCCAGGCCGCCCCCCGCGGCGGGCAGCAGCCCCGCCGGCTCCCACTCAGCCTTGGCCGCCGCCATCGCTTCCCTTTCCTCCCGAAACACACGTCTGCTTCCGGCAGCACCGCCCCCGACGGCGGCCGCCGCCGGACAGCGGCGGGGCGGGGATGGGGCGGGGCCGGAGCGGGGCCCGCACGGCGCTCGAACGGGCACTGCCCGCTGTCCCACCCCACAGAGTCGCGGAATCAGTTAGGATGTGAGCCCAGCGTAAGACCCAACACCATCATGTCAACTGAGTGCCACATCCGGACTTTCCTTCCTTAAACACCTCCAGGGACGGTGACTCCACACTGTGCAGTCTATTCCAATGTATAATCGCCTTTTCTGTGAAGAAATTCCTCCTAATATCCAACCCGAACCTCCCCTGGTACAGCTTAAGCCTGTGTCCTCTCGTCCTGTCGTTAGTTGCCCAGGAGAAGAGACCATCCCCAGCTGGCTACAACCTCCTTTCAGGGAATTGCAGAGTGTGAGGAGATCTCCCCTGAACCTCCTCCAGGTTAAACAACCCACCCCTCTCATCACATTTGTGTTCCAGCTCCTTCACCAGCTTTGTTCCTGGATCTGCTCCAGCACCTCAATGTCCTTCCTGAATTGAAGGGCCCAGAGCTGGACACAGTACTTGAGGTGCAGCCTCAGCAGTACCGAGTAGGGAAGAATCACTTCCCTGGTCCTGGTGGCCACACTATTTGATGGAGACCTTCCCCCTCTCCCAAACACACAGAGACACTGGTTAGACACAGGCATTTATTTGGGCCCTGCTGACATAAGCCTGTCCCTGGAAGCACGAGTGGGGCAGCTGAAGAGGAATGTCCAAATTCCCTACAGGGAATGTCCACAGGCCAAGCAGCACACTGCCCACATGAGACAGTGGCTCAAGGCCCCAGACAGGTCTCTTGGCCACCTTTCCTGGATGCAGCTTCCCCTCCAGGTGGTACATGCAGCATGGGCACAGTCTCCACAGGCAGCACTGGTCCAGGCTGCAGCTTCAGGCATGGATTCCCTCTGGGCCCCAGCAGCAGCTCCTGCTGGGCGTGCAGCACTGGAGGACATGGTGGGGTTCAGTCGTGGGCAGGCTGGAAGCACAGAAGAGACAGAGCTGGTGTTACTCACTTTGGTCCCCAAGGTTGTCCCCACCTGGGAGCACTCCAGCCAGGAGGATGGATGCCCAGGTGAATTTTGAACAGGGTGCTGTGAGTGTCTTGACAGCACTCACCTCACAGGTTGGCATCATACGCTGCATTGCTGAAGGTGCCTGGTGATCCTAAGTCACTGCAGGGCAAACACAAGGGTGTCACCTTGGACAGTGCAGGAGTACGTGAAGGGCAGGGGTTAACACAGCCCTGTCAGCCCACAAGATGCTCCCATTGCATATAAAAGCAGCCTCACACAGGCAGATCTGAGTGGCAGCAGAGTGACCACTGGGCTATGAGAATCACAGGGCATGGCTCTCACCTGGTGGGGTTCAGGAGCTTCTTCTTCTCCTCTGATAATGGTGTTGAAATGTCCATGGGGATAGAGCAGATAGAAAAGAAAAAAGCAGATGTTTAGTGAAGGTCATGAGAAGCTGGAGCAGAAGTTTGGGATGGAGTTGGGGGGGGGGGCTAAAGCTATTTCCTGTCTTCTTCACAGTGAGGGTGTTTATCTGGCTCTGCCCTCCAAAGCTGGCTGCTGACACTATCAGCTCAAGAAACTGCCACAGAACCATGCAACTTGCAGCACATAAGACACTTGGATTGAGGCAGTCACACTGTTAAAGTCCTCTGATCATCCCACCCTCCCAGGGACTCTGTAACCACCTGGCCTGAGAGCTCCTGGGCAAAGATAGGGTGGGCTGTGGGAGGTGTTTCCATACCTCTGTCACTGAGGCGCTTGACAAGGATGGCAATGAGCCCCCCAGAGAGCACAAGACCAGCTACTGTCAGGGCTGTGCCACTGCTGTAAGCCAGGACTTGCTTTAAGAAGGCACCATCCTCTGAAACAGATCCACAGACCCACAAGTTAGAAAGTTGCCAGGACTTCTCAGCCCCTGGAGTGCCCCTCACTCACATTCAAGATGTTCTTGCAAGAAAGCTGGACCCCCCTGCAGTGCTAGAGGAGCGGGGGGGTCCCACTGTACCTGTACAGACAGGAGGATGCCTGGTCCAGTTCCCTGTGGCCTCACACCGGAGCACCTCTGCTCCCATCCGAACAAAGCCCTCCTCACAGGAAAAGGTGCATGTGGAGTTGTAGGTGAAGTTCCCATGTGTGTGAGAGCAGCTCAGCTGGCCTCTGCTGGGGGGGCCCAGCACTGGGCAGCTGATGGCTGGAGATAAAGTACAGCAGCAATATTAAGAGGACAGGACTGGTGGTAGTGAGACAGGGACGCTTGGGCTGGGAAGCCAGGGGATGAACCGACATAGACTGGGGCGCTGGGGAAAGCAATCTGCTACAACAGAGCACTGCCAGACAGGTGTGAGATCATGAGACCTACCTTTGCACTGTGGGGTGTCCCCAGTCCAGGTCCCCATGGCTGTGCACTTGCGGCTTCCTGGCCCCATCAGCACAAACCCTTTCTGGCAGGAGAAGGCACACGTGGAGCCAAAGGTGAAGTCCCCAAGCGGGTGGGAGCAGACAGCCTGGCCCATCTTGGGAGTGGTCACTGCTGAGCATTTGATGGCTGCAAGGGTAAAGAGGCACACCTCAGAAAGGAGCCTGGGAGACTACAGTGTCAGGACCAGGGGGCTGGGGAACATCCTAGTGCCACCCCAAGGTGGCACACTGAGCTCTGGCAGCAGCAATACCTTCACAGCGTGGGGCATGCGCCGTCCATGTCCCCATGGCCATGCACTCACGATGCTCTGGCCCCACCAGCACAAACCCCGTCTGGCAGGAGAAGGCACACGTGGAGCCAAAGGAGAAGTCTCCGTGCAGGTGGGAGCAGTTCAGTTCTCCCCAGTCTGGAGCACTGAGCACTGGGCAGGAAATGGCTGCAGAATGAAGAGGTACACTTCAAGCAGGAGCTTGGGAACTGGGAGATTAAAATTCTGGGACCACGGGGCTGGGGAACATCACAGCATCACCCCACGGCAAAATGACACCCTGCACTCTGGCAGCAGCTCTACCTTCACAACGTGGGGCATCCCCTGTCCACGTCCCCATGGCTGTGCACTTGCGGCTCTCTGACCCCATGAGTGCAAAACCCATCTGGCAGGAGAAGGCACATGTGGAGCCAAAGGAGAAGTCTCCGTGGATGTGGGAGCAGTTCAGCTCTCCCTGGTCTGGAGCACTGAGCACCGGGCAGGTAATGGCTGCAGGGAAGAAAGCACACTTTGGGAAGGAGCTTGGGGACTACAATGCTAAACTCTTAGGATGAGAGGACTAAAACACTGAAGAACTTCCCAGGCCAACCCATGGCCTGAGACACCTTGAGCAGCAGCTCTACCTTCACATTGTGTTGCATCCCCTGTCCATGTCCCTGTGGCCATGCACTCACGGCTCTCTGGCCCAATCAGTGCAAACCCCGTCTGGCAGGAGAAGGCACATATGGTGCTGAAGGCAAAGTCTCCATGGACGTGGGAGCAGTTCAGCTCTCCCTGGTCTGGAGCACTGAGCACTGGGCAGGTGATGGCTGCAGGGTAAAGAAACACATTTCAAGTGAGAGTCTGTGGCTCAGCTGTTGGAATGAGAGGACCAAGACACCCAAGAACATCCCACGGTCACTCCAAGGCCTGTGACACCTCAAGAAGCAACTCTACCTTTGCACTGTGGGGTGTCCCCAGTCCAGGTCCCCGTGGCCATGCACTCACGGGTCTCTGACCCCTTCAGCACAAATCCCGTCTGGCAGGAGAAGACACACGTGGAGCCAAAGGTGAAGTTCCCATGGAGATGGGAGCAATTCAGCTCTCCCCAGCCTGGAGCACTGATCACTGGACAGGCAGTAGCTGCAAGGATAGAGAAAAACTTCAAGCAGGACCCTAGGTACTATGAGGCTAAACTGTTCAATCTGAGAGGCTTGGAAAAACCCAAGTGTGACCCCAAGGCCTGTGACACCTTGAGCTCTAGCAGCTCTACCTTCACAGCGTGGAGTGTCTTCAGACCAGGTCCCTGTGGCCATGCACTCAGAGATGTCTGGCCCCATCAGCACAAACCCTTTCTGGCAGGAGAAGGCACATGAAGAACCAAAGGTGAAGTTCCTGTGGAGATGGGAGCAGTTCAGCTCTCCTTGGTCTGGTGCCTTGAGCACAGGGCAGGTGACAGCTGAAAGGACAGAGACACACTTCAAGTAGGAGTCTGGGGACTACAAGGATAAACTGTTGGAATGAAAGGACTACAACACTGGAGAACATTCCGTGGTCAGCCAGAGCCCTGTGACAGCTTAAGCAGCAGCAATACCTTCACAGCGTGGGATGTCTCCAGTCCAGGTCCCCATGGCCGTGCACTCACGATGCTCTGGCCCCATCAGCACAAACCCCGTCTGGCAGGAGAAGGCACACGTGGAGCCAAAGGTGAAATTGCCATGGAGATGGGAGCAGTTCAGTTCTCCCCAGTCTGGAGCACTGAGCACTGGGCAGGAAATGGCTGCAGAATGAAGAGGTACACTTCAAGCAGGAGCTTGGGAACTGGGAGATTAAAATTCTGGGACCACGGGGCTGGGGAACATCATAGCATCACCCCACGGCAAAATGACACCCTGCACTCTGGCAGCAGCTCTACCTTCACAACGTGGGGCATCCCCTGTCCACGTCCCCATGGCTGTGCACTTGCGGCTCTCTGACCCCATGAGTGCAAACCCCGTCTGGCAGGAGAAGGCACACGTGGAGCCAAAGGAGAAGTCTCCGTGCAGGTGGGAGCAGTTCAGCTCTCCCCAGTCTGGAGCACTGAGCACCGGGCAGGTGATGGCTGCAATGGGAGAGCAAGTCTCAGAGACAGGATAGACGAGGTTAAATCTAAGGATTATGGCTAAATCCATGTCAAAGGAAACCAGATCTATGGCGATATGTCTTCAACTTGCCTTTCTCACCCAGACTCACCTCTTTAAAAACAGTAGTTGTTACAATGCTTTTTCTGCCCTACGAGTGATTTGCTGGGGGGCACACAATTGCTGCTCTGCAAGAGCCCTCTGTTTATCCCTTGCATTACCCTAGATTGAAGGCCCTGGGATGAAGGACCACAGCTGCTGCAGTCTACTTGCCTCCCTCCCTTTATTGGAGCAGAGACCTGACTCTATCCTTGTCACAGTGGCAGGGGGATGGCTTTGGGGCTGTAGAGGACCAGGATGGGATGATGGCAATGGCTATAAGGGTTGTGTGCCAGCCTCCCCAGGCTGTGGCCAGGATGTGCTTTGCTGCATGCCAGGGCAGCACCCAGTGTTTACTGGGGTGAGTGGTTCTGCTGCCTGCGGGACGACCACAGGTTAGTGCCAGGAGGACATCTAACAGCCTCATCACCCAGCCCAGCTGAAACACACCCCATCCGCTGTGCCTTCGGCTCTCAGACCAACACCAAACACTTTCCTAGGTAGACTTTTCCTTTTATAGATGTTTTACAGGCAAGTCTGGTGTCCCACAGAATTCCCTATTGGTGAACATGTCATGCAGGGTGGGAGCAATTGACCCAGCCCATTTTGGGGCCAGCCAACAATGAGCATGCAACAGCTGCAGGCAGGCACAGGGCACGGTTTGAGACAGGGCAGGCAGCCTCGTCCTTCACAGCCCTCACAGCACCATCAGCCTCGCCACAGCAGGAACCTCTGCTCGTTTTTGGAGTAAGCCCAACTGGCAATGCTTGCTAACACTGCTTTGTTATCACAGGCAACTGTCTGACTCGCCTAATTCCTTGCAAGAAACAAAAATCAATCATACATCCAGCTAACAGGAAAAAAAACAACGAGCTGGGAAAACAAGCCTCTGGGAACTTGAAAAGCCTGGAGCAGGCAGACACAGCCCAGCTTGCCTGGGGGGACTTCCACAAAATTGGGAGCCAGCTCCTGCTCCTGCTGGGGATGCTGGCTACAGAATAATCACATCACAGCTCCATAAGTGTTGCTTTTAACTGCAGAAAGTTTTGCTGGTCTCAGGTGCCTAAAGTAAGCACCGTGTTGGACTACAGGCACACCTTGGACTGGCATCATTGGCAACACTAACTTCAAGGCAGGCTTTCTTTTTAAAGAATATATGTACAGAGATGCTGCTTGGCCCCTGACAGCTTCTGCTGGGTCTCCCAATAGAGAGGGTCCCCAGTTTCACCCCATGTCTGCTCCAGTCCTTGACTCGTCCCATCCTTGTGCAAGGCTGTGGCACAGGAAAGGTGGAGCAAGACTCTCACACCCACAAAAAAGCCCAGCACTTCCCTGGGGCGCCTGGTGCCTGGCTGCAAGCCCTCAAGCCACAAACAGGAAGACTTTCCCTGCCCCTGCAGCATAACACACCACAGCTTTCTCTCCTCTGTGGCTTCCTGCCACGCTCTGTCCCTCTCAGATTATATCTAACCTCATGGGTCCTTGCCCCACTCAAAGTGGCTCAAAGTGGCCTGCCAGGATACCCCCAGGACAGCAGCCCCTTTTTTTCTTGTGGACCTTCAAGATGCCAAGCATCTTCCCAAGGCAGATCAGGGTGGGTTTGTGGAGGTGAAGACCATGCCACTGTGTTGACAGAGGTGCAAAGACCCCACTCAGACCCCTTGCTTAGTGCACACAGGGTGCCGACATCTGGGTGGAATTCAGGACAGCGAGCAAGGGCACTGGGACAGCCAGGCAGAGCAGGGGGCTTATCCAGAGCTCACAGCTGCTCTGCCCATTGCAGCCTCATGAGGGAATCACCTCCCGCATGCAGCACCAGGAGATGCTTCCACACAGGGCAGGGGCAGGGGCATGGCAAGGCTTCCCTGAGCAGCGTTGGGTGCATAGTGCTGGTTCCCCCAAAGCAGCAATGCCGCGTCCCTGAGACCCCCAGCCCCTGACAGGTCCTACCTGTGCAGACAGGGATGTCTGCTGACCACTGCTGGGAAGGCAGGCACCGCAGCGTTCCCATGCCTTGCTGCTTGAACCCCTCCTGGCACCCAAACACGCAGGTGGAGTTGTAGCTGAAGTTTCCATAGGGATGGCTGCAGTTCATGTGCACTCCCTTGGGCTTCAGCTCAGCACACTGCACAACTGGGAGAGACACATCACTGCCAGCCCGTTAGGAGCACAGGGAACTTGCCCAGTTTGCCACTGAGGCACAGGCTCTCCAGGAGGGAGGGAAGGATGGGTGTGGATGGCTCACCATACTCGCACTCAGGGCCGTGGAAGCCGGGGTAGCACTCGCAGCGGTAGCTCCCGATGGTCTCCACGCACTCGCCGCGCTGGCTGCATGAGGAGGGCTGGCAGGAGGCTGCACACACACAGAGAATGGTCATCAGGAGCTGCTGGCCACCCTGGTGATCCCCAGCCCACCCAGTCCAGGTCTGGGCCACAATTCCTCTACTAACCCTTGTAACACAGCGCCTTTTTTTTCCGGCTGCAGGGCTCGTCGTTCCATTTGCCCGACTGGTCCTTCCGCTTGATGTAGATCTCCACGCAGTCCTGGTTGGAGCGGCGGTTGTTGGGCTCCCCAGCTGCCCAGTTCTCTGCCTCCTTTGTCAGAACCTTCCTGGTGCCCACCCAGGTCCAGATGCCTCCCAGCTTGCGGATGCCGATCCAGTAGTAGCTCCCATGGCGGGGCAGGTTCTCGTTGAGGTACTCGATCTCCGCCTTGTTCTGGATCGCCACCAGGTCGGTAAAGAAGGTCTGGCAGTAATTCCTGGCTTGGTCCCACGTGTAGTCCCCTCGGTCACTGTAGTAGTACTTCCAGGCACCCACCTCCTTCCACAGCACCATGCCTGTGAGAGAAGATGACGTCTGATGCAGAAAGGATGGAGCCAGGTCAGGGATGGGGTCCCTTAAGACATGAGGGTGGGCTAAGCCTGGCCAGTGATCAGCTGAGTGAGGCGATGGGATGAAAGGACAAGTGTGGATGAGAATGGGCCTCTGAGGGTACATGGAGACCTGAGTAGATCAGGCATGGCAGAAGGAACTGAAAACAGGGGGACAGCACAGGGATGAGGAAGATGGAGGAGACAGGGTGAAGGCTGAGACAGTGGGCAACATGGGGCAGGCAGAGTGCAGGTGGCAGAAGAACCCCAAGTGGTGATGCCAACCCCTTCTCCAGCACAAGTATTGAAAGCTCAGCCTCATGGCCCTGTTCCCCTGCCCACAAAAAAGTTTCCCAAAGGGGAAAACCCCGCTTCAAGATGGGTCCTTAAACATAGTTCCTTCCTTGAGTGCAGAAGTGTACCACTTTGGTTTTCTTCCTTTTCTTACAGTGCTATGTGAGAGTCAGATTGGAGCAAGGCAGAGGAACAAGTGTGCCCTCACCCCCAAAAGTATTTGGATCCCAGCCTGCTCATCTGAGCTGGAGATGGTCTGAGGAGTCTTGTAAAACTTAGTGTTGCAAAACAAGATCTTACAAAAGTCAAACTCATGCCCTGGTCATGCCCACCAGGCAGGGCAAGGCCAGAGATTGACTGGAACCCACACCCACAAGTGAAGGACACTTTGCTGAAACCCTGCTCTTATTTACTGCCACTTACTTCACACCACAACTTTATGCAATCATAGGGTTTTAGCCACAAAAAGAAGCTTCCTCTCTTCTCCCCAGAAATAGGTATCTCCAGAGCAGCTGAAAGTGATATGGGATTCATATCTTCATTTGTGCAGAAAATGAGATGGGAATAAAAGTCTGCTCCAAACAACCAGCCTGGGGTGCCCTGTGCCTCAGGAGAGCACACCACACTGCAGTTATGCAAAGGTCTGGGTATCACAGATTAGATACAAAGTTAGGACTTCTCAAGTCTAATTAGAGCTGTAGTTTGGCCAATAATTATATATTTTTCTAAGAATTTTCTAAATTCTCATAATTTGTCTAGTTTTCCTTGTGAAAGAGCAAACTATCCACTTTGTTCAACAAAAACTGAAGTTGAGGAAAATGTGGTTTCCCACTACAGCCCTCATCTTTACCCTTTGGGAATTTGGGGCTCCAGGACAGGAGCTCAGGGCACCTTCTGGGAGCCTGCCCCACCCTCAGTTCCCACCTCCCCCTCCTGGCCCTCACTGCCTCCCCGGCCAACCCCTTGGCAGCCCTGATACCTCTTCCCAGGGTGGTGCTCAGCACCCTTCCCACTAAGGCTGCCTTTGCATTTTTGTTTTCCCCTCAGAGCTAAATCTCAGACTCCTCCTAACACTTCTGCATTTGCCTCATTTCTGTTCCTTAGCTCAGTCATGAAAGGTCCTTTGGAAAATAGTTCAGCTCACGGAGGATTTCCAGGGACAGAGCAGTCACCAGCAGGTTTTGCTCTGTGCAATGCCAGCATGTGAAGGAAATATCCTACAGGCAGCAAAACCAAATTCTTTTCTACTCTGGTTTCTCCTCCTGATGTCAATTAGCAGCTCTAGTTCTGCGTGGTGCTGCCCCAGCTGTGCTCCCAACCCTTGCACCTGTGTGTCCTGTGCCTGTGTCCGTGCCCACCTCTGCAGCACGGGCAGTGGTGGGTGTACCACCAGAGCGGGTGTAGGCAGCGGGTAGAGCTGCTGCTGCCTTTCTCCAGTTCACCGCTGGGTGCACCAACTGCAATGCTGCATGTGGGGAACCAGACACCCTGCAGGGACCCCACATGTGGCCGAGCCCTCCCTGGGGGAACATGCACTGCCTGGAGGAAGCTGGCCTGAGCACACAGCCCCCTCCCAGCCCAGGAGGATCCAGCCCTGGAGCTAGCAGCCACGAGAGTTGTGACGGATGACCCTCCAAAATAACACTGGAGCTGCCCTGCTCAAGTTTCCCAGACCTGCAGACTCTTCGGCAGCAGGGTCACACAGGGCTTACTGAGCAGGCCGGTGGGTGACTTACCCCATGTGATGGCAGCGATGCCCAGGTAGATGCCACGAGAGCCCAGAGTCCGTGTCCTCCCAGCAGGTTGCAGACCCACAGCAGTGCCCTGACAGGGAGGGAGACATGAGCATGCACATCCCAAGAGGCTCACACAGGCACCCACGGTGCTGCCAGGCAGTCCTGGTACACCCGAGGGCACGTTTCTTGTGCCAGCTCACACACAGGCACGGATGGTGCTGCTGCTGCAGAAAGGGCCCTTCCAGTGAGGTACTTTGAGGAGCTGTGCCTGCAGCACGGCACTCTCCCAGTGAGGGAGACACTGCTGGCAATGCAGTTCACTCCTAGGGAGTCCCCAAGTTCAGGGCATGTCCTGTGGCCCCCCAACCCTTCCTGCTCATCCAGGGCTGCCACCTGCCTTGCAGTGGCAGTGCCCTGTGTGCCTGGGGTCACCCGGGCAGGGTGTCTCCAGGGCAGCCTGTGTGTGTCCCCCAGCCCCCGACACTGGCACTAGTTCCTCTCAGTGCTTGCCCACAGCCCTGCCCTCCTCTAAATCCCTTTTTCCAGGCAGACCCTGAGTCATCCCCAAGGAAAGGAGCAGGACCTACCATGCTGTGCTGCAGACACGCCTTGCCCAGCCAGTGGCAGTGCCAGGCGTGTGTGCCCCCCAGCAGGCAGTGGTGCCTCACACTTCCTCTGAGCCTGCAGAGCATCGCTCCCTGCCCTTGGCCTCTTCCCCTCCCACCCCAGCCCCACTGACAGCCCTCATCCTGCCCCCCATCACCGCCTCCCTCGCCACAGGGCTCTCCCACCCCGAGAAACCCTTCTCTCACCTGGGGCTGGAAGGGAACAGTGGGGTTCCCACTGGCCATAGCCCTGGTGGGACTCAGCTCAGCACCAGCCCCATGGCATGGGAGCTGGGTGCATCCCCACACTGCCATAAGGACATGACAACCACAGGAGCTGACCCACAACCAGCCAGGATTGCCCGAGCCCCCCAGGAGGTGGAAAAAGGTCCCCCAGGAAGGGTTCAACCCCAGCCCATGGTGCCCAGGGCACCAAGACCTCTCTGACCCACCATGTCCATGTGGCAGTGCCCACGCTGGTGGCTGGGAGACAGAGGAGGGATGAGGTGTGATGAGGTCCCACGGGGGCTGAGCAGGAGCGTGGCTCACAGCCTCCCAGCTCTCATGCTGGATGCTCTCCTCGCATGCAGGCTTTTTGCTCTGGCTGTGAATCCTCGTATACCGTTTATAAACAGTTACTTACACAATGTATTTTCCTGTCTTTATCTTTATGAGAAAGGTCCAATAATATGACAGAGGAACTTCCCCTGACTTCTTAAATTCCATTGGAAACTTCCACCAGAGTTTCAGGAATATGCCTAATTGTGTCCACCTCCCCTTGAATCATTCTTCAATCATAATAAATCTTTTCTTACCCCATTCTGCTCAGAAGTAAAATTGCCTTGGCAGGGTTTTCTGCAGGAATCACTCTGCTCACTTCCAGCTAAAGCCAAGCAAGAGCCATGCAGGTCACATGCATTTTCCAGTTCCAAAGAAACTGATGCTGCTCCACTGGGACTCATTCTAAACAAAAGGAGGAACCCATCCCACAAAAGTCATAACCTACTAATTACTTTCTACTTGGCCAATACAAATGAAACTCAGTTCCTGTCTCTGGATATCTTTCTTGCATCATCTTCTACTGCGATTGTCTGTTTTTATGGAATTGCTGAGGATGGGTCTGTATGTCCAGTAATTCAGGAGCTTTCTAGCAGCTCATCTGCTGAGGGAAGAAGCATGCAGGCAGGCAGAGAGGCTGAGGGGCAGCTGCTGGGACAGGAGAGCATCTCCAAATGCTGAGGGTCAGCTGGCCAGGGTGGAAACTGCCTCTCCCACTGATGAGACACCTGCTGAGGCTCAGAGAGGTGTTTGTGGGTGCATGGCCCAAGGAGAGGGCAGGCTGTGCCCCTGCCAGTTTCACTTCTGCTGAAACCCAGCAGGGTAGGGTAGAATAGTAGAAAAAAAAAATATTCCCACCTTTGTTTTTGTAACTACAAATAGCTTCTGGTATTGCTTTAAAAACAGAATCAAGGTGGCTGAGACTCAGAGGCAGCTGCTGCTGCTGCAAAGTACAGGGCAGTACATGGCCAAGGTCAAAGCACTTTGTGGGATCAGGCACCCCATGCCCACAGACACCTGGGCTCAGAGAAGGGGTCCTACATGGCAGGACAGATACTCAGGGTTGCTTTGCAGGCAGTGGAAAAAGGTACACATGGTAGGAGGGAGAGAAGACCCAAATCAACTCTGATGGAACATGGTTAATGGCCAGGAGCCCTTTCACAACTCGGATAATTTCCAAGGTTGGCTTCCCTGGAAGGGATTGAGGATCCTGCAGGACACATGCTCCCACTGGATTCCTGCTGCATCGCTTACCAAGGAAGGGCCTGTCTCTGCCTGAGCAGTGCAGGGATTTCCTAGGTGGAAAGATGGTGCACCCTCTGCCCACCCCTCTGAGAGCAGAGCTCAAGCTACAAGCCAGGGCTTTGCTCAGCACGGACTTGAGGGAGCAGGTATGAAGATACTTTCTTGCATTACCTCCTCCCTGTCCCTCTGGACGCAGGGATCTGCAATGGAAACGTGCCTCCTTTGCTGTGCCCCGGCGCTGAGCAATAGGCAGAGGCAATGCTCCCTCTCCCGTGAGAGATCTGCCGCAGGCTCTGTCTCTGGGGAAGGGGCACGGGTGTGTGTTGTTTACAGCAGAGGCTCCCGCCCCACGGTGGCACAGCCCGCTCCCCTCCTTGTGCAATGTCCCCGCAGAGGAACCGCAGAGGAACCGAGTCACCCTGGCACAGCGCGTCCGGCTCAGCTGCTGCCGGCGATACGGGGTCACCTTCCTGGGGGGGAGCCCCCCCTGCCCCCGGGGAGGGCTCAGCAGCCCACTGGAGCAAGGAGGTGCCTGATGGCACTCCTTCAGAGTATAGCATGGTACCAGCGAGGACCCACACCCCTGGGGTGCAGCCTCACTGCTGCTATGCCCCCATTCCTCCTTGGGAACTCGGGCAGCTCCCTCTGAAGCTTTAAGAGGCATCTCCTGAGCACGGGAAGCAGATGATTCCTGCCCCCAGGGCCCCAGGGAGTGTTTGACCCAAAGGCTGTCCCTGAGCCGCAGGGTGCCTTTGAACAAGTCTCCCGGCATGGCACCTGGTGCACAACCCCAGGAGCCAGACCCTCCTCGGGTGGTCATGGAGGAGAGCAGCAGCACCCGATAACAACTTTCTCACAATTTGGAAATGTTTGGCCACCCTGGATTGGAGGGGTGAGATGGTTGCAAGGATTAGTCAGGACCAGATGGACAGGGATGTTTCCAAGACGGTCCAGGGACAGTGGTACCCTACACCCCCCACCCACAGGGACCTTGCAAACACTGGGAGAGCCCTGGCTGCAGAATACAGGGGTAGTTTTGGGGAAATCACTCCTGCCAACCCTTGTCCCTCTCAGAGATGTTTCTTTGATCTCAGCTGTAGGACAGCTCTCTGCCTCTTGCTTTTCACTGCCAAGCCATTGATGGAGAGCCTTTTCACTGGCCTTCACTGCCACTTGGGTAGCCCTGCCCATGCTGCCTGCTGCTCTCTGGCGCCTGGCAGCAGCCACACGTGAGTGGCACAGATAAGAGTTTGCCAAACAGGATGCCAGGGGCGTAGGTAACATTGACCTTATCTCACTGCTTGTGTGGTAGGGCGTAAACAAGTGACTCTGCCCACCTGGGGAACCCAGCACCCCTGCCCTGCCAGTGAGCTGGGGCACAGGGTGGGGATGGGGTGCTGGAGTGCAGCTCCATGTGCCACATCCAGGGATAGCCCTTCAGCCATGCAGGCAGGCCTTGCCCCAAGTGACAGCAGGGTCACCCAGCCTGCAGAGCTGCTCCTGGGAATTGCGATTGCTCTGCTTGTGCCCTGCCTGGCTCCCCATGGCCTTGTGCACCCCTGGAATGCCGAGCCAACCACTGACCTGCCCAGCCCACCCTTGACAGCACCCATCCTCTCAGCGTGACAGCAATACCCAGAGCTGTCACACTGGCTCAGTGCAGAGGCAACACAGGTGGTGGAGTCATTGGCAGATGACGACTAGGACACCATCCCCCTGAACATGACCAGTGCTTTTGTCACGTCCGGTTTAATGCAGAGATTTCAATCATCTCCTGTCTCACAGAGCAAGCCCAGAGACAGATTCCTCTGTCTGACACCTCTTCACCCACTGTGTACTATTGCCTGTTCCTCTCTCTGGGCCAGCGGATGAACATGCTCAGCACCAAGAGCTGTGTCTCCAACCAGGGCCAGCCTCTGTGCAGCAAAAAACATCCTCTCCTCCAGCCAGGAAATCCTGGGGCATCCCCTCTGGCAGGCACTGTGTTTTCCTCTGAGACAGAAGTATCCTTGAGGACATCCTTCATCTTTTGACAGGCCAGGGCTGAGCTTTCCTCTTTTAGAAAAGTTCCTCTTCTCTTTCCCACCTCTCTGCGTCAGCACACAGCAGTTTGATGATTTCTGCTCTGGGATCTTGGTTATCCTGCTCCAAGGAACTCCTCTGTCATTTGACTTGCCGTTCTATTTAAATTGATGATTTATTATCTGCAGGTAGGGCAGGCACTGGCACTGGTTTTAAGGTCTTTTTTGATGTCCCAATCACTTTGCTTTTGTTAATCTACAAACTGCCCTGCTCACACTGCCCATGCTGTTGCAAATCACTGGGCTCTGCCCTGTGCAGCATCCCCTGGGTGTGTGATCCCGAGGATGGGGCAGCCCCTTTGGAATCGCTGCTGCTGTGGCCATCCAGCTCTCCATGCACAGGGTCAGCAGCACTTGCTGAAGTTGGCTCTCCCTAAGAGTCCTGACTTTTGGGGCAAGCCCCTGCAAGAAAAAACAAGAGCTAAAATAACAAGGGAAAGGATGTTCCCTTTGTTGTCATCTCTGAAATTAATTCCTCTGACCTCCTGCAGCTCTGCTTTAAAGACCAAGATGATCACAGACACCAATTTAACTGTGCTTTGACCGTGGGCAGAGGGGTATAGGCTCCTTCACATCTGAGCAGCAAGAACAAAAGTTTTTTTCTGCACTTTTCGGACAGGAAATGGTAAGGCAACATAGGGAGTGCTTTCCTAGCTTGTTTTTATTTTTATTTACCCTTGAAAGGAAAAGGACTATTTTGCAGATCTTATGGGAGGACTCACTGGCCCAAAAGGAGGTGAGGCAGGACCTTCTGCCCCCACCGTCCCTGCTGTGCTGAGGGGACTTGGCTGGCCCAGCACCGTACCTGGCTCCTCCGGGCAGAGCGATGTGCAAGGCGCAGCTCCCCGGGCGGCCCAGCTCCGACCACCAGCTCTCTGCTGCCTCTGCCGCCGTCACACCATCGTCACACGAAGGCTTCCTGTTGCTCTACGAGACCTAGAAACCCGCTTCTGCTCTACGGGCACCGATGTCCTTCGGCAGAGGCGTGCGGCCGGGAGCAGTGTCCGTCCCGACGGGCAGCGGCGCAGGCAGCGAGCGGAGCTGTGCCGGCTGCGGCGTCTGTCCCCCCTGCCGCGGGGATGCTGCAAGGGCGCTGCGGGCGTGCCGGGGACTGCTGTGCTGTGTCCATTGGCCTGCAGGCCGTTGCTCTCCACGATGAGCCGGAGAAGCCCCGCGCCGGGGAAGTCCATGATGACCACCCCCCAGCGCACGGGCTGCCCGCCCCGGCGCCGCAGGTGCTGGTAGCAGCGGGGGTTCACAATGCGGGCCACCTCCTCAGGGCAGGTGAAGAGCCCGTTGCCGGAGCAGAAGGTGAGGTACATGGTGGTGGAGTCCCCGCCAGCTGCCTTCTCCAGGTGCCGCCGCACCCGGGCCCACTTGCGCTCCAGTGACAGCACGTTCCAGGCGTCGCTGATGCTCAGCTGCTCGTAGGGGATGCCCAGCACCTCCCGCGTGAGCGCCTCCAGTACCACGATCTTCCCACGCACCTGGCCCAGCGTTGGCACCTCCTCCTGGCACCACAAACAGCCCTGTCCCTCCTCTAGCAGGCAGCGATGCAGCTGGGCAGCGAAGCCGGGCCGGGAGAAGATGGGCAGCTCCTCCTTGATCCGCATGAGCACGGCCTCGCCGGGGTGGGCACGGAGGAAGCGCAGGGTGCGGCGCAGGACCCCCCGCAGGCTGGCCCGCTGGAAGGTGCAGAGGTGGTAGACGCGGAGCTCGCCCCGCGACAGCTTGCAGCGCACATCCAGGAAGCGGACGCCGGCCGCCAGCTGGGCCTCCAGGTTCCAGCTCTGGCACCGCAGGCGCCGGCCGCCAAACAGGCTGAGGGAGTCGTGGGTGCCAGGGATGGAGAGGCGGGAGAGGGGCAGGGCGTCGGGGAGCTCTGCCATCCAGTCAGGGCAGTAGGCTGCCGGCTGCGGCACGCAGTCGAATGCCGCGCTGCGCCGGCACCATGTCTCCATGCCACCAGGAGAGCGGGCACCCCGGCGCCTGGCCGGCCCCCCTGAGCCCTGCCATGGAGGAGAAGCAGACTATGAGCGCTGGAAGCGCATCCATGTATCCTGATCCCACCCCTCCTCAGTGGTATCCCCACCACACCATGAAACCCTATAACATACCAAATGCCCCATACGCGTCTGCCAATACTTCACACTGTTGCACTGTACTGTCCCCTCCCACTCTCTAGCACTTTTCCCAGTGCTCCAAAATCCCCACCGCCTCCCAGCCTCCCCCTCCTGCACCCACCTGGGTCTGCCTGTGGCTGCGGAGCGGAGCCCGACGGACGGGGTGCACGGCCGTGGTGGGTGCCAGGGGCACACTGTCAGGTCGAGCGGGATGCCAGCCATTAACCCGGTGACAGTCATGACGCGCGTCCTGCCGCGCAAAGGGCACGTGCACCACGGATTCATCCTCAGCCGTCGGCCACGGGCAGCGCTTGACAGACATACCAGGCTGGAAAACTGCCTGGCTGATCCCGAAAGCAGCCATTCAGGCCTCTGCACCTCCCTCCCCAGGAATCAGGACAAACGGGATCGAGGTGCCGCAGGGCCCCTTCATGGCCCCACGGGAGAGGTTGCGCAGAGCCTGGGGTGCCCACACGCCCGCTCCAGAACCACGTCCTGGTGGGACCTGCACTGCCCTGGTCACGACCAGCCTCATCCCTGTCAAAGGGACAACGTCTAGGCAGGGACACAGTGCAGGGGTTCTGTGCTTGTCAGCACATCCCAGGACTCATCAGCGAGAGTTCCCTGAGAAGCGGGTTTCATCCCCTTGTTCCTCAGGCATTGGGTGGCTGCTTCACACTGGAATCACTGCAAGGGTGCCGGGGAGGTGACCTACAGCACACACTGCGCCCACGGGGTTTTGAAGAGGAGCCGCCCGACAGGTCACAGACCCCTCTGAGCATCCCTCCGGCTCACATCCCCTCCGCCTGAGCACAGGGATCCTCGGGTGTCGCTTTCAGCGCTGGGCCCTGCCACTGCGGGGACACCAAGCGGGGGCACACCGGCCGGCACCTTCCTTCCCTGCGCGCAGCAGCGGGGCAGAGCGGGGGTCCCTGGGGCAGCCCCCGGGGCGGGGGGCAGACACCCTCCCGGGCCCTGGTTACGGCCCCATCCCACGTTCGCCCCGTGCCGTGCTCCCCCACCGCACTGCCCGCCCCAGCCCCGCCGGGGCAGCAGCTCCCGGGGCGCCGCCCCCGCCCGCCCGACACCGCAGCGCGGCGGCGCAGCCGCCCCCGCCCGGGCCCGCCCCAGCCCCGCCGGCCGCTCCTCGCAATGGCGGCCGCGCCGAGTGGTGGCAGCGGCAGGACCTGCTTCGTCCTGGGCGGCTCGGGGGAGACGGGCCGGGCGCTGCTGCGGGAGCTGCTGTCCCGGCGGCTCTTCGCCCGGGTGACGCTGATCGGGCGGCGCCGGCTGAGCCTGGGCCCGGAGGCGGAGGCGGCCGTGGTGCGGGGGGTCGGGTCCCGGGGCGGGGGTGGCCGTGGAGCGCGGGGTCCCGGGGCGGCCGCGCTGACCCTCGGCCTCCCCGCAGGAGCAGGCCGTGGTGGACTTCGAGCGGCTGTCCGAGCACGCCGCCGCCTTCCAGGGGCACGACGTGGGCTTCTGCTGCCTGGGCACCACCAGGGCCAAGGCTGGCGCAGTGAGTGGGCCCCCTTTCCCCCTGGGAGAGCAGGGGTCCAGTTTGCCCCCTGCCCTGCCTGCGTGCTCCCTGCCCTGCTGACCCTCCTCTCCGCTTTGCCCGCAGGACGGCTTTGTCCGGGTGGACCGGGACTACGTGGCGCAGGCAGCAGAGCTGGCGCGGGCAGGGGGCTGCAAACACTTTGTCCTGCAGTCTTCCCAGGGAGCTAATGCACAGAGCAGCTTCCTCTACCTCCGCGTGAAGGTGAGGGGTCAGCCGGGGTGGGCTCCTAGTGCTCGTGCAGGAGTCACAGAATGCTGGGATGCTCGTGAAGGAAGGAGTAGCTGAGGTCTCAAGACTTGCAAATGGCTTTGGGGGTCCTCCTGGTGCTGTGGGACAAGGGAAGGGGCTGCCTGCACAGCTGTGTGACTGCCTTCTTCTGAAGCAGCACGACCCTGCGTGCAGTGTTTATCTCCCTCTTCAAACCTAGGAAGACTCACTGGGGTCTCTAGCCCAGTCCCAGCTCCCCAGGGTCAAGCTGCTTCACAGCTAGGTGGGGAGGCTCAGGGCTGTGTCCCGGTGAGATGTGAACTGTCCAGGGATCGAGAGCCCACAGGCTCCCCAGGTGGGACCATACCTACCGCGAAAGCTTTTTTCCCCGTATGTTGTGTGCTGCAGCTCCCAACACCTGCTTGGATTCAAAGCTGTCTGCCAGCGTCTTGTGCCGGCTGGATCCATCCCCAGGCTGCGTGCTAAGTCCAGTTGCTCTCGGGAGCGGCCCGTTGCAGTTAACACGATGGTTGCAAGGGTGCGCTGCTGACCCACGGTCTGTGTCCACTGCGGACACTCGCCCCATGCTGCCTGTCCTGGAGAGCTGCTCCCTGCCTGGCCTCTTCCAGCTTTGCACTGGCATTAGTGCCGTCCTGCCCACGGCTCAGCAACTCTCTCCTTCACGGAGGTGGCAGGGATGGTGCTTGCAGTCATCCTTGTCTCCTTTCATCCTGCCCAACTGCTCTGACAGGGAGAAGTGGAGAACCTGGTCCAGGCTGTTGGTTTTGATCGCTGTACCATTCTCCGGCCAGCGTGAGTAGCAGTGGAGGAGGGAAGGCACAGGGCTTGGGTGGAGGGTTGTCAGGGCAGCAGGTTGGGAGATGGAGAAAGAAAAAGGATGCATAAGCGGGGGGAAGTGGAGAAAGCCACCAGCTGCAATTGCAGCTCATGGATGAGCAGACTGCTTCCCAATGCTGCAGGAAGCTCTGTAGTTTCCCATGGCCCATCCTAATGCTAGTGCCACGTGCCGTGCAAGGACAAGAAGCTGGGGCTGAAAACAGAGGTTGGGGCTCATAGGTCAGAGATTATCTCCTCATGGACCTTGGCCTTATGCAGGGGGAGTACTCAGGTGTGTCCTTTCAGCTGCACTGTGCTCTTGCTCCCTCAGAGAACTGTCATCCTGCTTTTGGCAGTACAGTGGAGAAAGGAGCTGAGTGTCCAGGGGCTCAGCTCAGTCACATTTTGTGGCCCTGCTAAAGCCCCGAAGCCCACGTGGGTTCAGGAAGCTGGTCTGCGCCCTGGTGCAGCTGTAGAACTGTCTCTAGGCTGACCCCACCTTACCTCCTCACCCTGCAGGGTGTTGCTGTGCAAGCGCCAGGAGTCCCGGCCCATGGAGTGGGTAACTCAGCAGTTCCTGGGTGCTGTGGCTCGAGTCTGCCCCACCGCTTACTCAGTGCCTGTGGAAACAGTGGCCAGGGCTTTGGTGGCCTGTGTGCTTCAGCCAGGCGAGGAGAAGGTGAAGGTGCTGGAGAACAAGGCCATCCATGAGCTGGGAAAGGCAGTGCCACAGCAGGGCACGTAGAGCAAAAGGGATGGCAGGAAAGAGCTTGGTTCACCATTCAGACGCTCTTTTGGGCCGAGGCTGAATGCATGCATGGGAGAGGTGCAGGGTGCTTATATGGCTAATGTGGAGCCAGAGGTGGGTGCACTTCTTTACACAGTGGCTCATTCTGTCAAGGAATCAAAACTGCAGGTGCTGGACAAGCAGAAACAGTGTGCTCTGCTGCCTGGATCCAGCATCCGAATGCGGGTAAAAGTGGTGTAAATGAATAAAACTCTATACTGATCTGTTTGTGCCAGCTTTGTGTTTAAATTACACCTGTCACCTGCACATCAACAACCCACTCTTACCTATCCAGATTGTGTCTTTTAGTGACACTACAGAGAATGCCCACAGGCAAGCGGCCGTGCAGTAGATGGTCACTGGAAGGCAGAAACAGCTCTATGCTGTCTGTGCAGAGGCTGCACCTCACAGAGCACATGGTGGCACCAGTGCCGCTTGGATAGCAGAGCTCCTGAATGCTCAGCAGCAGCTGCTGAGGCGCCTGGGGGTGGCTCTGCCCACAGCAGGTCTCTGCAAACAACTCTTTCCTCGCTGATGTGCTCAGGGTGCAGAGGGACTGCCGCAGGGACGCAGCTGTTCGGACCTGCAGTCACATCAACACCACGCAAACACTGGGGTTGACTTGAAAACACCTGTCCCCACATGTCTCTCTGGGCTCTCCTGATGGAAACGAATCAGAGCTCAGACCCGTGTTCCTTAGGGTGCATGTGCAAGAGCTGAGGCCAGCCACATGCACATCTTGGAGCAGGCTTGCCCCTGCCCCATGCTGCCCAGGTACCAGAAGGGGAGCAGGTTCCTTTTGTGGGCATGGAGCAGGCACGATGAGCAGTGCCTTGTCCCAGCTGCAGCCCCAACTGTTCTCAGGCCTGCTGCTCGGGGTCGAGGAACTTGGTGGCTCCACAGCTGGGATGCAGGACTTACGTGACTCCCAAATTCCCAGCTGGCCAGAGTCCCAGCACTTCGGGTAATGCTGCTTTTCAGGATTTTCTCTGACCTCACTCATGGCTCCTGTGTCAGTGACTTGGATGTGGCAAATGGAGGGAGCCTGGATCTCATCTCTGTCCTCTGCACAAGCAGTTTAATCACTGGGCAGGACCTCAGAAAGTTGGCAGAGGCAGGGAGATGGTGCAAGGCCTGCACCCGAGCAGCTCGTCAACCATGTGTGGGGCTTAGTTCAAAGGGACCACTGAGCTGCAGTTACTGCTCAGACTGTCCCAGTGAGAGCAAAAGAGATACCTTTAGAATAAAATTTCATGTCTGAAGGGAGATGAGAGGTAGGCTGGTCAGGAGCATCACACAAGTCTCTGAGGGGTGTTTAACTTGTGGAGCAGGAAAGCTGTTCAAGCATGCAGCACTGGGTTACCAGGCATAATGCACTCCAGTGCTCAAAGAGATTTTTAAAAAAGGGGATGTGCTTTTACAGGGGAATGGAAATGAAAACTGAAGTGG